ACAAAGTTGGAGATACCAGTCTACCCTGTTATTTTCTGACGTAAAGTAGAGATGAGTTTATGCCTTTTCTAAGGGCATTTGCGTGAAAGAGAATTAAACAGACGCTGCCTCAATTTGAACTCGTAATGCAAATAGCACTTCTTTCAGTCGCTAATAGTGATCTCAGGTGCACCGCGTTCTTTCACGAGAACCATCGTCATTATCTATTAGGGAAGAGGGTGATTTTATATACATGTCATAAATAATTTTTTTTGCTTTGAGTAATTTTTCATGGATATTAATCAAAATAAATGCCTATGCAATTTGAATTTCTAACACCAAGTAAAAACAAAAAGATACAGAAAAGACGCGATCAATCATCTTGTCATGTGAAATGGAGAATCGACGGTGTTAGTGCCTGTGCGTGTCGATTTTAGACTGGCCTTTGCTTGCGTGAACATATATTTAATACTTGTGTGTAGAGTAATGTAATGAAAATAATGGATTTGACTTGACGTAAGCAATTAACTTAACATGCGTACTTATATTTGTGTTACCGATACAGTCCTTCCAATATTTATGGCTGTTCATTTTTGCATAAAACGAACTAAAGGGTCCATTTTGTTTTCTTCACACCTTTTGAGTAATTATCTTTCAAAAGAAAATTACAATATAGTTTATTTATTGGCCTCGTAATCCATTGCAAGTTCAGTGTCAAAGTTTTTGCCAACATTTAAATTATAAGATAGTCCAGGGTTTGACGTTAAACTACACGCGGCAGCAAGGCCTCTTGATCGGGAGAATGGAGGAGCGTGATACCATCTCTTAATTGCTGTTGTTCCATTGTCTACCCTGACCTGGAGTGGCAGCACCTCTTAGGGCTCCAGCAATGGAAAAATAGTTCAGGGTATGACGTTAAATTAGATCCAGCAGCAAGGCCTCTGATCGCGAGATTGTAGGTTTTGACGAGCGTGAGGCCACCTCTTAATTGCTGTTGTTCCATTGTCTACCCTGACCTGGAGTGGTAGCACCTCTTAGGGCTCCACCTATGGAAAAATAGTCCAGGGTATGACGTTAAACTAGATCCGTCAGCAAGGCCTCTGATCGGGAGATTGGAGGTTTTGAGAAGCGTGGAACCACCTCTTAATTGCCGTTGTCCACCCTGACCTGGGGTGGTAGCATTTGTTAGGTCCCAGCTATGACCAAATAGTGAATCTCCAAACATGAAGAAAGTATAAAAATACATTTTTATACTAAAAATACTAGCAATGCATTTTTATTTAGTAAAATGACCAACAGTATCCATTTATAGTACAATAATTAGGAAGGAGTGTCAGAACCCATGGAACTCCTGCCCAAACAATAAACTGTTCAAAATTAAGCCAACTATAGCAGAACGTCATCAGATAGGCCAAACTAGAAGGGAAGTGATTATGTTCAGGCTCCATATTGGGGATCCTACCATAAACCATTTGTATATCCTAAAAAAGAAAGATCCTTCGGTATCTGTGGCAGGCCAAGAACCATACACTATAAAGCACATACTGGCAAACTACACCAATTTTAATTCAACCCGCTTAAAATATACCAATCAACAATCTTAAAGGATCTTTTTCAAAATACTCACTCATTTTACATATTCCAGTTTTTAAAAGAAATAAAACTGATTTCAAAAACATAATTAAAAGGAAAAAATATAACCGTAGCTAAAAGCAGTTCTACGATTTAAAATAAAATTTATTTGACTCTATTTAGAAAATATTAAATTTCGGCATTAAATGGCTCATTGAGGTTGATATGCCGTAAAATAAACTAAACTAAATATTATAAGAAAATTGTAAGCGTCAAAATTACATATATTGCAGATTTGAATCAATCCACCACAAAGAAAAAGCTGAGAACGGTTCTTAAATATAAAAAATATAAACATTATTATTTTTCTTAGCGTGTATGAGTGTTAAAGTGTTCTTGTGTTAAAGTTCCATATTTGTAGATGTTTGCTAACTTGAAAAGAAATGTGATTTCTTCGCGAGTATGTGTGAAAAAAAAAGCAAGGGAGAAAATGAGGAGGAAAGTGTAAGAGTTACGTAGCTTGGTGAGGAAGACGGGTGAATGAATAAGGGAATTTTCTTTCAAACCGAGTCCTGCCGTGAAAGGTTGCAGTTTGTTACCGTTTCTTACTGGCTTGTCCGGCCTATAAACTTTGCTTATATACTCTTCAAATGGATCATGAAGCGTTATTTTTTATTTTCAAAGGAAACGCGACCCATTGGTTGCAAGATATTAAACGATTAAATTTACTAACCGGAATGATACATGAATCCTCTGACTCAGAAAACATTATCATCATTTGATGTTTGACCATTTTTTGGGTTATTTTCGTCTTCACTCAACACACACACACACACACACACACACACACACACACACACACACACACACACACACAATGAATCATTCATACAAAAAGTAGATTAGTAAAGATTTTATATTGGTATTAGATTTTATATCATTAACTTTACTAATCTACTTTTTGTATGAATGATTCATTGCAATATAAATTACACTGCACCACATATTTGATTTAAAAGAACTGATCCGATGTGCAAATTTTCGGGATAACAACTGAGACATTATTTATTGAACAATTTAGTTCATGCCACATTGACTGATAAACTCCTACAAAAAAAAAAAAATTCTCAAATTGTCATATTAGTAAAAAAACGCACTCTCTTAAATCTAAAAAAAAAAAAAAATTAACCTTTGCGTTGCGACTGTACGCTCCAAAAGTTTGTATCCGTTAACAATAACACATTTAAAAAAACATATTTCGATTTGCATTTAATATTTTCGTCTCTGATGCTACCTGAATTTTACTAAAAACAAAATAATTTCCAATTCCTGAAGATGACTGAATCTACAGTTGAAAGTGCTTGCATATTAAAGAAAGACCTTATACAGTTTATAATTTTTAAAAACAAGGATCATAACATTCATCGAGTGAATTGTAGGTTAATGCACCTTTAAAATTTTGTTTGCAAAGGGATTTTGCCATTTTATATCATTGACTTTACTAATCTACTTTTTATATGAATGATTCATTGTAATATAAATTGAATTGCACCGCATATTTGATATATATTTATATATATATATTAATCATTTTACTCTAAGCAAGTCGGAAATGCGACTAGTATGCAGAGGATTACAGAGAGTGAAAAGACTGGTTATAGGGGGGAATTGATGAAAGAATAAAATATGAACGGTATTCAAGAAGACAGTTAGAAGATAACGATTGACGTTGCATTTAAATTTTAAAGTAAACGGAAAGCGGGAAGTACGAGAAAAAAGCCGTTGGTGTAGAAGTGGTGGTTAAATTTAGCTATTTTAACAGTAAACGGGTGGGACCTAGATGCCAATCTAGTAGCACGCTTGAATTCTTGTAGCCGGGGCACCAGGGAAAAAAGCTCGTCACAGCAGTTGCCTGGAAAATATTTATAGAAAAGTTAGAGGGAAACTACGTCACGTCTGTGAGAAAGTGATTGAAATCGAGATATCAAGTCAGGATCGATTACATTGCAGATCTTTCTTTGGATTTTGTCAAGAACCTCGAGATGAATAGCAGGAGCACCAGATCAGATATGGCAACAGTATTCAATGCATGGACGAATGGTAGAAATTTTGTAAATGTGCAAGATGGACGAGAAAAATCTTCTTCCACGATACAGACACAACTTTCCTAGCAGTGGATGCAGTTATTGATTCAATGTAGTCGATCCAATTTAAGTCCTTTAAAAACGTGAGCCAAAAAGGCGCAGTGTGTCGCTATCCGGGAGTCTAGTGTCAGCCATGCTGATGGTGGACAGGAGATTTTCTGTATGTTGGTTAAAAGAGAGCAGTTTCCTTTTGAATACATTAAAATTTACACGCTATTTTCTACTCTAGTTAACCACTGGTTGGGGGTAATTTTCAAGAGTAGTGGCCAGGTTAACTTTGTCCGTTCTGACGGATTTGCTGTTGAGACGGGGGTAAATGACAGTGTCATCTGCATAAATGCCTACTTGGGAACTGATGTCATCGGAAAGATCATTGATGAAGAACAGAAACAGCGTAGGAACCAGGATAGATCGTTGGAGACACCCGCGTTAGTGTGAAAAAATCTGGAAGCGAGCCCGTTCGAAAAGATTTGATAGGAACAATTGGATTAAGTCAAACAGTCGTCGTGTCATATCGTAGGCTTGAAGCTTACGCAGAAGGCCAAACGCCTTCGTGATATCTACAGCCACGGCTCGGGCTTCGCCCTTATTATCACGGGCCTGATATACATATTCAGTGATGGCCCTTAGCATGTCAGCAGTAGACCCGGTAAAACGGAAGTCATATTGTTTGCCAGTGTTCATATATATATATATATATATATATATATATATATATATATATATATATACAAGAATTAATCACACATAGAATTAATAAGAAGTATCAATGCGATTATTGGCGACATCCGTCACTAGAAAACATAATATATGCATTAAAATCCTGTTCATCCATAGTGCGAGTTTTGATCCTTGAAGAAAAAACTTGTTGTCTGTAGTTTTTCAGTTTATTCGATGTTAAAATGTTAGTACTTTTACGGACAGTCTTCCATCCATCATCAGGCATGTGTTTTTTTCTTATAAAATCAAAAACTTGAGACGATATATCTGTATGTCGACCGAAAGATGTTTTTTAATGCATATATTATGTTTTCTAGTGACGGATGTCGCCAATAATCGCATTGATACTTCTTATTAATTCTATGTGTGATTAATTCTTGTATGTAAATCATATGCTGCCTAATATATATATATATATATGTATATCTCTGTGTGTGTGTGCGCGCGCACAGAAACCTTTCTTTTAAACATTTTTCATTGAATATGACAGGGAAAATTTGATTCTTTTTTTATTCAGTTTTTCCAACATTTTTCTTTGTCTGTTCGTCCTTCCTTATTTTTTTTTCTTTCTCTCGTTATCCTCAGATCTTGTTTTCGTTCTCTGTCCTTCTTTTCTTCATTTTGTTTTTTTATCTCTGTATTTTCTCTCTCTCTGTCCTTCCTTCCTTCCTTCTTTTTTTTCTTTCTCTGTCCTTCTTTCCTTTTTCTTTTTTCTTTCCTTCCTTCTTTTGCTCTTTCTCTGTTCTTCCTTCCTTCCTTCCTTCCTTCCTTCCTTCCTTCCTTCCTTTTTCTCTCTCTCCATCCATCCTTCCTTCCTTTCTTCTCTTTTTTTCACTCTCTGTCTTTCCTTCCTTCTTTTTTTGCTTGTCCTTCTTTTTCTCTGTCCTTCTTTCTTTTTCCTTTCTCTGTCCTTCCTTCCTTCCTTTTTTCTCTCTCCATCCTTTTCCTTCCTTCCTTTCTTCTTTTTTTCTCTCTCTGTCTTTCTTTCCTTCTTTTTTGCTCCCCTGTCCTTCTTTTTTTTCCCCTTCTTTCTTTCTTTTTCCTTTCTCTGTCCGTCCTTCTTTTTCCTTCCTTCTTTTGCTCTTCCTCTGTCCTTCCTTCCTTCCTTCCTTCCTTCCTTCCTCCATCCCTTCCTTCCTTCCTTCCTTTTTTCTCTCTCCATCCATCCTTCCTTCCTTTCTTCTCTTTTTTTCACTCTCTGTCTTTCCTTCCTTCTTTTTTTGCTCCCCCTGTCCTTCTTTTTTTCCCTGTCCTTCTTTCTTTTTTCCTTTCTCTGTCCGTCCTTCTTTCCTTCCTTCTTTTGCTCTTTCTCTGTCCTTCCTTCCTTCCTTCCTTTTTCTCTCTCTCCATCCTTCCTTCCTTCCTTTTCTTCTCTTTTTTTCTCTCTCTGTCTTTCCTTCCTTCTTTTTTTGCTCCCCCTGTCCTTCTTTTTTTTCTCTGTCCTTCTTTCTTTTTTCCTTTCTCTGTCCGTCCTTCTTTCCTTCCTTCTTTTGCTCTTTCTCTGTCCTTCCTTCCTTCCTTCCTTCCTTTTTCTCTCTCTCTCCATCCATCCTTCCTTCCTTTTTTCTCTTTTTTTTCACTCTCTGTCTTTCCTTCCTTCTTTTTTTTTGCTCCCCCTGTCCTTCTTTCTTTTTTCTCCCTCTATCCTTCTTTTTTTCTTTCTTTGTCCTTCTTTCTTTTTTCTTTTTCTCTGTCCGTCCTTCACTTTTTTCTTTTTTCTCCCGCCGTCCTTCTCGTTTTTCTTTTCCTTCCCTTCTTCTGTTCTTCTTTCTTTTTTTTATATAATGGAATCCAATCATTGCTGAACATGACAATTTTTTGGGCTCCCCAGAATTAATCTGTCAAAAAGACAACGCCTGTTACTCCGAATCTATTTCACTCGGGGCGACGTTCACTTTGAATCTGAGGCGACAACGATTACCATGGCCCAAAATATCATTTTAAAAAAATTCTATTTACGCACTGAGAGGTCTTAAATCCAGTTGATTATCCCTTTCACGTACACAACCTCGATCACCTGTATGATAGATAGGGTTAATTTCCTCCGATATTTTTTCCTCTAAAACAAACGGGTTGGCGATACTCTTTCTTTATGACGGCAAATCAAGCATATCTTGAAAAGTGAATGCATACTGACCATGAAAGTATGTTAATAGTATCTTTTATTATTCTATTTATATTGTTCGGACTGTTGTCCTCATCTTTATTGTCATATTTATGACGTTTCGGCAGTTGTACGCACCGGCCTTCTTCATGTGATATACCATGGAATTTCGAACCGAACCCTATATTTAGTCCACTGTAGTAGAATGTTCTAGTTCCACGTTCCATGCCTTTTCCAGATACCTCAGTTTCAGTTATTTCCCTTTAGTAACTCAATTCTCCAAGTTTTGTTCACCTCTGCTTTGTCTCGGTATTTAACTCACAACTCTTTGGGTCAAGTCACTGGATTACTTCAACCAAAGCTTTTATCCACTGAGCCATGTGTTTTGACCCAAAGAGTCATGAGTTCAATACCTGGCTACAGCAAAGAAGCACAAAAACTTGAGTAAGTTGAGGTGCTAAAGGGAAATAACTGAATTATCCAGAAAAGGTATGGCACGTGGAACTAGAGCAATCTACCCAAGTGGACTAAATAAAGAATTCGGTTCGAAATTCCAACGTATATCAACTAAAGAAGACCGGAGCGTACGACGTCCGAAACGTCGTGATTATGACAATAAAGAAGAGGACAACAGTCCGAACAATGTAAATAGTGTAAATAGTTACAATACCTCATCTCACAAATAACGACAGATGTTGCAGGTGAATATGGCAATAAATATGAGGACAACAGTCCAAACAATGTAAATAGTGTAGATAATTACAATACCTCATCTCAGAAATAGAAACAGATGTTGAAGGTGAATATGGCAATAAAGATGAGGACAACAGTCCGAACAATGTAAATAGTGTAAATAGTTAAAATACCTCATCTCACAAATATAGACAGATGTTGAAGGTGAATATGGCAATAAAGATGAGGACAACAGTCCGAACAATGTAAATAGTGTAGATAGTTACAATACCTCATCTCACAAATATAGACAGATGTTGAAGGTGAATATGGCAATAAAGATGAGGACAACAGTCCTAACAATGTAAATAGTGTAGATAGTTACAATACCTCATCTCAGAAATAGAGACGGATGTTGAAGGTGAATATGGCAATAAAGATGAGGACAACAGTCCGAACAATGTAAATAGTGTAGATAGTTACAATACCTCATCTCAGAAATAGAAACAGATGTTGAAGGTGAATATGGCAATAAAGATGAGGACAACAGTCCGAACAATGTAAATAGTGTAGATAGTTACAATACCTCATCTCACAAATATAGACAGATGTTGAAGGTGAATATGGCAATAAAGATGAGGACAACAGTCCTAACAATGTAAATAGTGTAGATAGTTACAATACCTCATCTCAGAAATAGAGACGGATGTTGAAGGTGAATATGGCAATAAAGATGAGGACAACAGTCCGAACAATGTAAATAGTGTAGATAGTTACAATACCTCATCTCACAAATATAGACAGATGTTGAAGGTGAATATGGCAATAAAGATGAGGACAACAGTCCTAACAATGTAAATAGTGTAAATAGTTACAATACCTCATCTCAGAAATAGAGACGGATGTTGAAGGTGGATATGGCAATAAAGATGAGGACAACAGTCCTAACAATGTAAATAGTGTAAATAGTTACAATACCTCATCTCAGAAATAGAGACAGATGTTGAAGGTGAATATGGCAATAAAGATGAGGACAACAGTCCAAACAATGTAAATAGTGTAAATAGTTACAATACCTCATCTCAGAAATAGAGACAGATGTTGAAGGTGAATATGACAATAAAGATGTGGACAGTCCGAACAATGTAAATAGTATAAATAGTTACAATACCTTATCTCAGAAATAGAGACAGATGTTGAAGGTGAATATGGCAATAAATATGAGGACAACAGTCCGAACAATGTAAATAGTGTAAATAGTTACAATACCTCATCTCACAAATATAGACAGATGTTGGATGTGAATATGGCAATAAATATGAGGACAACAGTCCAAACAATGTAAATAGTGTAAATAGTTACAATACCTCATCTCAGAAATAGAGACAGATGTTGAAGGTGAATATGGCAATAAATATGAGAACAACAGTCCGAACAATGTAAATAGTGTAAATAGTTACAATACCTCATCTCAGAAATAGAGACAGATGTTGAAGGTGAATATGGCAATAAATATGAGGACAACAGTCCAAACAATGTAAATAGTGTAAATAGTTACAATACCTCATCTCAGAAATAAAGACAGATGTTGAAGGTGAATATGGCAATAAATATGAGAACAACAGTCCGAACAATGTAAATAGTGTAAATAGTTACAATACCTCATCTATAGACAGATATTCTATTATCTTAGAATTTTGGACGAAATTGTAAGATCCACCCTTTTCTTTATTACCCTCCGCTTATTCGAGAGGCACTAATACTAGAGGTAGCTGAGTGTCATTATTTTGAAGCGTTAATCTAAACTTTGCTTACTTTGGTACCCCACGAGATCCAATAGCGGGGATTGACAGTAGGAAGTTGTATTTCGACAGTCTTTCTAATGTAAGAACCAACGTTTGAAATCTTAGCTCTTTCCTGGTCAAGGACACCTATCATATGAACCCCGACCAAGGGGCACTTAGACGAGGTGTAATGGTTAGCAAGCTTGACTCGCTAGAACAATTACGGCAGAGTAGTGAGTTCGATTTTCACTGTATGTCCCATATTTTCGGCCTTGTGCCACATCTAAGCCATGTTTAGAAAATCACCATGTGAATCCCCACCAAAACAGTCACCGAGGCGTTCTTTACCAATTTGAAATTGGAATACTATTACATCTGATACAACTAATGTATCTAGATATAAAATTTTGAGACTCCCGTTAGTCCGTCCGTCTGTCTGGCCGCCCGTCTGTCACAAACAAAATAAATAGCCATACATTGACTGATCGAATTCAAAGGTACCAAGTACACTTAGTTTTCGATAGCTTAGTACAATAAATTTCCATTAATCTTTTTTGAAAAATTAAAAGTTTTATTATTAACATACAAAACACTTCCACTATAAAAAAATAACAGTTTAATGTTTAAAATAGCAAATAATTATTTAAAATGCAATATTTTTTTTATTGCATGTCTTTTCTTTAAGTTTTTATAAATACAAGAATCCAGTTTCTAGTTCACTCTGCGTTTGCGAGAACTATAAACAAATCACAAGGCTAAACGCTTCAAAAACGTTGAATTTTGGCTCCAGAAAGAAATATTTACACAAGGCAAGTAGTATGTTGCATGCTCAAGTGTAAGAAATCCTAAGAATTTATTTTTCACTCTTAAAAAAGGAAAAAAGTAATTTTCTTGAATAATATTGTTTACCATGAAATGAAATTAAATTAAAGAAATTATTAAACCGCGAAATAGGGGTTTTATCAAAGTATTTTCCAAATAAATCAGCTTCTTCAAATTTCATCGATTGGTTTGTGAAATTGAACGAAACGTAGAGTTTGTAAATCTCGACAAAAATGTTAGCGATAAATTCAACAGTATTAAATACTGTGAGGATTTCAACATGTTCACGGGTGTTGCAAAAAATTCTAGTGTAAGGAAAAGCGAGATAAGCATTCAAGGTGAACAATCATAATCAAAACGCGAGAATCTATCGACAAAAGATATGTACCTGTAACTGATCTCGCCATTAAATACTGAAGAGGCGCTGTTTCAAGAGGGTAGGTGAAATTAAAACGGAAGTACATCCGGTTTTGTATGGTTTTCACGAAGAGGATTTCTACTTTGAATTTAAGGGCCTGGAAAATCTGCCGGGAACGATTAATGCGTATACGCGATGGATGAAGTGACAGAATTTAAACAGCGTATTTAGACTGGGGACTTTGTGATTTTTATAAGTATCTGAAGCGTACTTTAAATAACTTCCATTACATTGTCCCAATTTCGATCTTTTGTTGTAAGTTTAATTCCCAAAGACGAAAGTATACATTTTTCTAACAATAGCTTATATGTTGACAATGAGGGTGGAGCAAAATAAATATTCTTTTTATTATTTCATTAGTACAACCCTTTTTAGCGTCACCTTCTGTTTATCCGTACATCTATATTAAAATAAATTCCAGATTCAGGGGCTCCTGGTGGAGGAAACATTCCCTGGTTGACCTACAACAATTTCTATCTCCGACCATACCGGGCTATACCGTGCCATACCGGGCCATGTGTGGGTGAGATATCGGCACCATCTGGCCTTTGGCCTCCTTCTAGGTCTTTTTTATAGGCATTGTGTCCACTCTCTTGCTCAAATAGCCCTGTACAGTAAAAAGTGTGTGAAAAGTGAAGAAAAGAAATAATCTTCAAACACAATTCTACAAATTTAAGTAATTTTATTTTTGGGTATAAAAATAATCATTGTTTTCTTTCAATTTGAATGAAACAAGTTACAAAGTCCCTCGCAAACAAAGTTAAACGAAAAATGTTTTGTTTTTCTTTGTATAACACACAGAAATTAATTGCGTTAGAATAGAGTGAAAGGATGCATGTGAAAAAAATATGAAAATCCACGGTTAACGTTGTTTTATGTATGCGTGTGTTTTTCAGCAGTCGACATCAACAGTGATGGTTTGTATTGTCGCTATAATTCGGTTTGTTTATATATATCTCTCGTATATTTTTCGTATTGTATGAAATACTTTACAAGCGAGAATTATGATTTTCAAAAGCAACCCAGAACTCAATAAA